TTTATCTGCGTATATTTAGATGTGTGTATGGAGCAAAATGCGACGCATATTCTGGCGACACCGAGTGTTGTGTTGCATAAACGCCATGTTGCTCATCGTCCACAGGTTATTGTGGTACTGCGCAATAAGCAGGCTGGAGGACAATGAAGATAGATTGTGAAGGTTGAGGAGCCGAGACGATTAATATACTTAGAAACACACGTGCCGTTCACCGCTACCATGTCCTGTATTAATATGCATACTCTCCAAAGTTCGTTGCGTTCGGCTTACTCTCCATGGCATAGTCGCACTTTGCGTGGTTAATTTCGAATGGGCATGTCGTGGGAAGCTGGCATTATGGAGATGACAGTACCACGCACGAACATCCATCACTATACAACCATGTCGGAGGAGGGTACGACACTCAAGGTCTGTGGCGATGGCTATGCGGGCGCAGTCGGGCTGCGCGGTGACGTGTTGAAGCTACAAAGGTATGATCGACTTCAGCACATCAAAGCACTTTCGGTGTCGTTCGGTGGTGCAAGACGAGTCGCTGAGGGCGAAGCTTCTTAGCCAGGGAAGTGCTGGAAGTTGCGAAGGAGAAGGCGAGGGGGTGACGCGGCGTTCAATGAGCCTTGGGCTCGGGGCTTTCTCGGCCGCGCTAGCACCCGAAAAGGAAGACTTCCGCGGCGATTTCGAACTTCATGAGTCCATCACAGATGCGTTTTCGGGCAGTGTCTTTATGCGATCGAAATTGTATGGATCAGCTTACATACGTGAGTATTTATCACGATCAAAGATATGTGCTGAAGACCAAACTCCTTGTACAACGGCCCGATGTCTGACCCCGTTTACCACGGGCGCTCCCCCAGTCGACCACTGACCAACGCAAGAAGATCGATCATCCTAGTACGCCAAATACTCTGCGACTTCATCTTCATTAGGTATCCACATGTCCAGCTCGTCATCCCCAAGGCTGGGAGCGCTCATTTCGTTCGCGCGAAGCTTGTCAACCTCTTCGAAGTCAACAAGGTAACTACAATGCGAGCGTTAGCATTTTACTCATGGAAAACAGGGAGCTTACTTACCACTTGCAAGTCTCCTGATCCCACATGATATTGTGCAGGCCACGATCGATTGGCATAACCCCACATTTCACCACGGCACTGTTGAAAGGTCAGCACGATAGGCCCGGGATTGGTGGAAGAAAACTTACAGCCATGCAACTTTGAAGGCTTCTCGGACAACCTTCCTCTTCTCAGGAGCCATCTCACAGAACATGTCCATTGACAAAGTCACCCCAGGCAACTTGTTCATGAGCATAAGGACACGATAGCCTCCATCTATGGCTTCATAATGGAAACCCGGGCGCACCGTGCCTTCAGACGTACCACAGAGCCAGGGAGAATGCTGACATTTTTCATGCCCAAGACGGTCAAGAGCTTCTATCTCATTTCTTGTCGCGGGACTCGAAAGTGAAGTGGTAGGTGTGGTGCACAGCTTGAGGTGATCCTTGTATGCAGGCAATCTGGTGCCTCTGGTGTCGTTTTGATCACGTAGCTCCGCCTCGCCATCATCGATCATTTCCTGGTACTCCTCAACTGTACGCCTACTTGCGCGAATTCTGATACTGTTACTAACATGTCTAGGACATTAAGGATTGTTACTTACTGGAACTTGACTTTGACTACACACTCGCCGATGGCTTTCCAGGGCTCATCTAGGCAGACACATGTGTAGACCTGGCGCGCTTCGCAGGGACTGTGGTCATCCTGGAACTCCAGCGTTGATAGCGGTGCGAGTATCTTCCATCGCGCATCCTTGGTGGTGCGGAAGATTTTGCCGACGTATGGATTGTCGCGCAGCCACTTGGGTGACGGCCTTGGCTTGCGGGCTTTCGCACGACTGGGAGCAACATCACTCTCGGGCTTGTGAGAGTCGCTGGAGGAGCTCGAAGTGTTGGAGATGGAACGAGAGGTCATCCTGGAGAGATATCAACGGAGAATACTGCAGCGTGTACAATGATGCGGAGGTGGATCGATGTTAGGGCTTCAGTGTGTTGTTGCACCGGCCGACTACCTGTGCTCCAGTCGGAAATGCGCTAACTCGGGTACTAGCTCAGTCCGACTTAGCGCCATCTTGGATCAGTGATCATTGGCCAATTCAAGGCTCCGCTTTCGAGCTTGAAGTCGAGACGTCTCGCAGTTGATATTGAATGTATTAAACGAAGAGTTATTATTGCATTTTCGAGAAACGTACTACTTCACTTAGAAACCAATTAGTGATTATCATGCCGGGCCGCAATTGAGTAAGCCGGAACAGCGGATTTCAAAAGTGCCGTCCATACACATGAGAGCCGATCAGATCTACTTATAAACTCCGTGGTCCCGCTGCCCATACTTTGAGCTTTTTAGATGTACTGTTGGGTATACACCACTAACATCCCCGAAAATCCGTCTACACACATCAATACGAAGACAGAACTTTTAAGAATGCAAAGTATTACCGACCCTTTCTGACGAACCGTCATTCAATGTTCCAAAGCTGACTACAATATCCCAGATCAGTGTCACCTACTGCGGCCGTGCTGACTTCCAGCCCTGAAAATGGCTGGGGCATCTCTGATCTCTTCTCCGTGCCCGAAATACATTCAGAGCTGCCTTACTGGGCTCAGCTATGATAAACTCTTCACCTTCTACTCAGTGGCGTTGGTGTACTCGGGTCCAGTCTATGCAGCCGAACAAGGTTCTCAGCCTGCGCTCCCGCTTCATCAAACTCATCAGGTCCATCAGTATCGTCAGACGGGTCAAAACCATCATCGATGTATTCGCTATCATCGCCATCGTCGATATCAGCCACCTCAGAACTGCGCCCTGACTCTGTAGCCTCGGAGTTCACGGCACTTTGGGGAGGAGTCTTTGCAAAGCTGACGTTGCGCGGAGACCTGGGCTTCGGTGACGGGCTCTTGTTTGTGTTCTGTGCCCTGGACCGCTTCAAGTTGTCTTTCAGCCCTTTTACCGTCTTTTTGATCGCGTTCGCAGCTTTCATGGGCGATTCTTTGATAGGTGTTAGAACTTTTGAGAGCTGATTCCCGGAACGCAGTCGCCGAATCATGGATTCGGAGGGTAAGGGTGGTGATTCGGAGGGTATTAGTGGTGTTTTGCCGAGGTAGGGCGACCCTACAGCTGCTGAGGGAGTGTCGGCGGCAACCGTCCGAGAGTACCAATCATCTTGCTTCGGAATATCGCTCGCCTTCAACCTCCAGCCTTCACCTCCATCGTCGACGACCTTGTGTAACATAAAGAGAGTTGTGAAGCGAGTACCGAATGTGTGTACGTTGGTCCCCTCGTCCACACAAGTCGGGGTATCGTAGCGGAAGATGGGCGAGTAGTAAAGACCATACTCTTTCGGATTGGATCTGCGCGGTTCGATCCTGAGAAAGATGGTTTCGTTGTAAGTCGAGACGATGCCGTACTTGATCTTGTATTTGTACATGTACTTGGCGGGCTGCCCTGTGATGGGGAGTTAGCGCGATCGAGGACGTTCAATGCTTGGTGTGGCAATGCTGTGCGGACTCGCAGAGACATGTCATAACTCACCAAGAAGGTTGCGCAACGATCCTGCGTTTTTAGAGGCGGGATCCTTGATCATCTTGGCTAGATTATGAGTCGTGCACATCTTGAATTCTCCTATGATGCGCACTGTCTCATCGCCGCCGTTCGAGTCGGAAACATTGAGGATGAGGTCGGGCTCCTGGTCTTTCGGGCGTGATTTGACATCCTCACCTTTAGAGCTGGGAACCGGCGGGTACAACGTCAGTGAATGTTTCACATGCATGTCGCGCAGTGGGCTTACCTGGAGTATTCAATGCGAATGGGCAGGAGCATTGCATCAGCTTCGGATCTGCATTCTGCAAGCGCATGTAAAACCGTTCGCACTGGCGTTGCCAGATTTTGCTTGATGCGCCCATCGACGTCGATTTCTGCCGCCGTTGTTCCCCCCTCGTCTGTGACGAAGTTTGGATGATATACGAGAATCACCGGAGTGTTCACGTTCGTCATGGCTGGGCAGTTATCGAAACTATACGCGGGTGTAGATGGTCAGTGTTTGTCCCCAATGCTGCTCATACAGGGTTACTACTCACCTTGGCTTGATAGCAGCTAAGAAGTCCTCCAGCTCGTCTTGGATGTTCCACTCCCCCAAATGACCCTCGAACATGTGGCGCATGCTGCTCTTTGTCGTGCCCTTTCCTCCATTCTTTACTAACAGGAGCCTTGGAAGCGACGCACAGATAGTCTCCCATGCACTCTCGAAGATATCCGAGAGCTCCAAGGTTTTGGGCGTCATGATTTGCGTGAGCGAATTTGGCTTGTCGATCGTGAGGTCGTAGTACGTGATTCGCAATAAGGACGCGTGCTAAGGAATCACAGCGCAGAGCCGTGTCGCCGTGGATGGTGCGTATAGAATTGTTGCCTAGACAATTTTGACTCCTAGGCGCTCATGATTTGCCCCACCGGTGTTTCCCTCTTCTCCCTCTCTCGCTATACCAATCTCCGCACCTTGATCCGTGCGCGCTTTCTCGCTCCAGAGGAAACCACAGTGACCGCTCCAAGAACGCTTCTCTTGAAAAACTGTGCGGAAGAGATCCACTATGACTTCCACGTCAACCGTTTGATATACTGAGAACACTGCATATATTCTTTATCATTACCCCGTGCACGCGAGCGTGCAGTTCATATGTCGGGCGGTATTGACAATATCCTAACTGTGTGGAGTATCAAAAGCCCGTCGCTCTAGTTCATCTGAACATTCCTCTTCACCTTGCGCTCTCCCTATCGCCCTGCGAGTCCGACCCGCGTTCACTTTTTCCGCGGCCTTTACACCCGGGGCGACAGCAGGGGTATCTCTGCTTGGCGTGTTCACTTCCACAATAAAATGGCGTTCCAGCAAATTCTTTCGTTGTCCTTTCTCTTGCGATTAGAATCGAGAGTATCGTTGCTTGATATACCCCATCAGTCAGCATGGCGCTGGTACGTTGACCCCTCGTGCGCCATTAGTCCACTCGATGTTAACAGGTTGAGTAGAGCAAGTACGGGTTCAGAATCCGAAAACCGGTATGCAGACAGCTTCATCGGCTTCAATGAGTTCTGATCCATGAAATAGTCCTTGTTGCCAAATGCGAAAGCTGCGGCTGGATCTGCAAAGGGGAGTAAGGAGAAGAGCACACCCGGTGCGCGATCCGGACACGGGGCGCCACGCAGTCGAAGAGGCCAGATCAAGAATCGTCCACTGCCCAAGAAAGTGAGAACCATGTGTCAAGGACATGAGCGTTGCCGGTAGCATGGCGCTGATGTAAATGTAGGCAGCACCGTCCGTGGTGCCGAAGGGAAAGAAGACCGCTGGCTTCCGGACTAATGGCCAGCTTCGTATCACGCCGACCTCTCTGAAGTCGCGAGTAACTCTCGATAATATTGCTGAGGGTACGCAAGCCGCGCCCATCTGCATTGACGACGATGGCGATGGTGACATCGGGATCGCCCAACATCGAAGGAGCCCGGTTTCGGTCAACAACGACGCAAAGAGTCAACAGAGTCTTGTAAGAGCGTTTACGCCTCTCTCCATGATCGATCAAAATCGCGAAACCGAAGTTCCGTCTCTTCCCACATCTACACCCGAAGGCGCCGAGCTGAATGAAGACGTGCCTTCCGGTGCTTCGCGCGGCAGCAGCCCCATCGAGATTGCCAGCGAAGATGACGAGCAAGCCTCGGACACGGAGCCTTCTTCCCCCATCGATGGGTATAAGTCTCCGCGGAGAAAGTGCTTGGTCAAACCAGGGCGCTACAGGGCTTTTCGCACGGGTCTGTACACGTTGTTCGCGATTACGAAACCGAAGGCGCGACAGATACCGTTCGACAAAGTCCTCAGAGTCATCAACAACAACCTTTCAGTCGAGAAGCAGTTCTCTCCTCTGGAAGCAAAGCAGGTCCTCAAATATATGAGGGAGAAATTGTTCGACTCGCTGTGCGCCGATCGGGTAGTGGACGTGAATCTGGAGGGGATCAAGTTGTATGCGTAAAGGGGGTGAACGATTTGCCGGAGCAGGGGCGTTAGCTCTATCTTTGAAGCTTTGTATAAGACAAGTTGAGAGCGCGTTCACTTGGAGTCGATTGGATGGTCGGGGCGATTCCGAATTCGTCTTTAATGTACCATTGCCCGATGGCATAACCATGGCGAAACTTCATTCGAATGCGTCATAGCGATGATTGTTGCGTCCCGGTTATCTTGCAAGACACTACCGTCCTCTTGCGCTGATCTGGAGCCACGGTCCGACCTGAACAGCTCATCTTGTGAAGACTTTCTCACTCTGCGTGAAGTCAAGCCATATTCTTATGGTACAGCACATAGCTTGGCCGCAGTTACACTCCACGCCTTCCCGTGTGTATGGTGACGCTGTGTACGTTGGAATATGCGTCGTCTCGTCCGTCGGGCGACCATTGAGGTGTGGGTGGTAATGACATGGGCGCGGGATTGGTGGCTAATCGAGCTCAGCTGCGTCGCGATATAAAAGAGCGTAACCCTGTCGTTGTTAGCATGGCGGAGTGGGAGATGCAAACAGTGACCTGCTTCGTGCCGTCGGAATGGGATATCGCTAGATATCCGATGGCTACTCGAACAGGCGCCATGCAGGGGAGACTGGAGATGCGCGTCCGTTATGATGCATACAGACCCCAACATCATCCATATCCAGCCTACGACGGCGTTCCACCAAGGCGCGATGTGGTCCAGCGTTCCAGACTTCTCAGCACTCCGGGCCAATCCTGCGGCTCCGCATCCCTTGAAAGCTCCACTGGCTTCTCCTCCTCATCCTCAGCCGCCGTAGTATATAGTCGGGCTCGTCCCGATTGCGCGTGCTAGCGTGCGCCATGGGATGTCGGGCTTGGTGTTCGTGTCGTGGATTACGGTGGCTGGCGTGTGGTTCGTCTTGGAGAATATCGATGCGGAGATATAAAGTGAGAGGAAAGTGATTTTGATATCAGTTATCAACTTGATGTCCTACTCATGGTCAGTGATGGTGCATTGGAGGTATCTTGTACGTTCTTACACTGGTGGTGGTCATGTCGATGATGCCCACGAGGGTGCCGGCACGGCTGCACAGGACGACGACCGTTTCATACCGGCTTCGGCCTGGGTGATGCACCTGTTGATTCAATCGCGACGAGTTGAAGCTTTCGCAGGGCGGCAATGTTGCGAATTGCTGGGAAAACGGCTTTATGATGCATCGGACGAGACTGCCCAGGTGGTGAGCAAGGAGCAAGTGACGTCGCGCGATTAGCCCCGCTTATCGCTTATCGCGCTGTCACGTGGATCCTGTGCCGACCACCGGCAACGATCATGGCTGACTTTCAGGCAATCTTATCCGGGCAGAAGCTGTGTCGTCTTGTTTCAAAGTACGTCAATGCACGATTGAACGCAGTGAAATGAGGAAATTCCCCACACTATCTTTTCTGAAAGCTGTGCAGTGGTCCCCACTCATGCGAGATAAAGACGACCGCATCATGATATGGATTTAGGGCTGTAGAAATAGGGTCGCTCCAACACACAGAAGTAACAGCATGCAGCAAGCTATGAGTATATTGAAATGTCTAGGTTCATCCTGGACTAAAGTTCTACGCCATAGATGGCATCTTGGCCGCTGAGCCATCTGCGGTGTGATCGGTACCGGAAAGGTTACAAAAGAGTACAACGCCCAGAGATACCTTTTGGCCGTACATAACCACAGCAGGATGTGTCTAAGAAGTCCTCGTAATGTGTCCACGTAGCTTCTCCATCCAAACTCGTCATGCTTTGACGAACAAGGCGAAGTATGAGCACACGTTCGATTTGAATGAAGTAAATACAGCAGCCTAATCACGTCTGGCATATCGCATGAGGTTAGCGCATGTCTGGCTAGACGACCATTCCAGTGAATGAGAGCTTGGTCGATGACAGAGTTGCAGGAATGAGTCGAGAGTTCCGCGGGAGTCGTCAAGCTGCATTGGAGTTTCGGATGGGTGGCTCATTGATATGAAGTAGACGTCGTAACAAATACTAATTGATGGTCGAATGGCTACACTCCCTATAGTGTGATATTGTTCGGTAGATTCAGACTGAACGTAAACATGGTTGACGGCTATCGCGCAGCAGACATGGAGCTGCCGATTGATGGAGAACCTGATCCTGCATTCATCTTCGGTAAGTTGTCGTTCATGACGAACGCGCAATGCCTGCTGCAAAGCCATAAAGACGACACAGTAGAGCAAGAAGGCCTGCTCATACTACCTCGTGCGTGCCGAGTTTCACCACTTCCTTACCTTCCGTCTACGCCTACGTGATGAGCCCGAAGTCGCGCTGTAGATGCATTCTTGGAGACTATGGCCGAGCTGAGCGTGGCGCAATGCACCCTTATACCGGAGGGCCTCGTCCACGTTTCGGAAAGCGGTGGCCGGGCTTCGGCGTGATATGCCCAGGAGCGGAAGGGTAATCCAACCTGCATTCGACCTCCGAGCGATGGCCAGCACCATGCGACAGCCCAAGTCGCAGCTACAACCGCAAGTCCTCCAAGATTCCTCTGATGTTTGTCCTTGCACCCGTCACATCCGAGCGTCGCAATCGATATCGCAACCTGTCTAGCTTTGCGTCATCATGAAGACAAGCCTGGTTATTCGCAGAGGGTGGAGACATGGTGGTGTCCGTAATTCGCGGTCGCATCGCCTTCGATAGCGTTCCATGCGAAAGAGAGAGGATGAGGAGAGCTGAGAGCTGCGCCAAACAGCATGGTCAGTATATGACTTCGGAGAGAGACGGCGGGGTAACTTACCAGCCAAGCAAGGTGCCATCTCCTTGAGTCAGGCCTTTCCCGAGGCGTTGCGCATCCTGTGTCTGCGCTCCGGCAAAGTCCGCTTCATGCTGTGGGAGTACGACCGTGTCAGCTTTCTTGGTGTGGTGTAGTCTCTTCAGTTGGAATGCCCAGACGCAGCGACAAATGCGAGCTGCGCTTCAGGACGGCTCATGCACTCGTTCGCGTTTCGGAAAGTAGATGCGGGGCGTGGGCTTGAGGTGGTCCGGCCGGTTGACGTCGATGCTTGATGAGAGGCATAGATTCCACAGGAGAGTGGAATGCCAGCGAAGAGCCAACGGGTTGCATCTGGGAGTCAGCGCTCGTTCGTATGGCGACTCCCTTTTGTCGGCAGGGCGTTGTGCAGTTGTCCAACGCAGCCTGTGGTGCGCCAAATGAGCTTTCGTCACTCTGGTATAGCGGGTCCGAGTGCTGAACGTGTGAAGACCTGGCGATGTGCCCGAGGAGCCAGTTCTCGTTACATGAAGCTTACAGTAGATTCTACTACAGCCCCGGTCGAAGTCCTCGCTGGTGCTGTTATTCTGATATTGGGGATCATCGTGAGTATCAATCGGTGCCGCCGGATGCAGCGCAGCGCTGACTCCTGCGTAAACCGTTATACGCGGAGATATAAATGGACTCTTCGCACGTTTGCGACTGGCGCGCAAGAGCTGGATACCCGCAGCCTTGGACTGGTTCAGCCCTGTGGGGTCGTGATGCGCGCAAAGTACTGTGCTAAGGTATGCATTGGTGACAGTGATAATAGGACAATGTGAGAACAGAGTCCGAAGAGCGCGGTTCCAGTGATGTGGTTGGAGAAGTTGTGGTGAGCACGTCTAGGTCGAATCTCCGGGGATGACGTCGGGCCACCGCGGGCTTGGCATCTCCCTATTGGCTGTGAGGAACTGACCACAACAACACCACTTCCGTCTCGTCTTCTTTCGCGAGCCTTTCAATCGTGCATCATCTGTTGCGCAAGTGTCCAGCAACTGCCAGTGTGATGAGGGACGATCTCACTTTTGGATGTCGGGCGCCACCGCGATTCAGTCGTTGACGTTCCTGCGCCCCTTCTGGAAACCGCGAACATAAACTCCGTTTCGGCCAGTCTACTCACCCTCGGGATTCATGAAATCGGCGAACGCTCTTCAGCGGCTGCGACTCAACCATCGGAGCCTGACAATAATGTTGCTGGTTTTTGGACCGATTGGTTAGTTGCGGGATAGCTCATCTTTCGCTTGGCTATCAGCCGTCCTCTGATGAAGAGGTTACCTGTACTGCGCACACTATACACATCCACCCGGCGATCGATATGGAGTATCCGCATTGTGATATCGGCACATCATGTACAAGGTCGCTGGCCAGTGAGTCCCATATCTCAGGCCTCCACGGATCACAGTCAAGGCTATGCCGCGGTGGCTGACTGTATCAGCAGATCTGTTAAGCTCGTACAACCCGATGAAGCGACTGGACTTACTCCCACTAGCCGATGAATGTACTTACAAAATCCACGAATCAACTCATTTCTAGCCCTGGCCGCATTTCACTTCCTTGCGTCGTAAGCCTGGTGCTACGCACGCTGCTGCGGAGCTCTGCGGACTGTTTGCAGCGGATTTGTGGACATGATAATAGCTCCGATGAAGCATTATATCCTAGTTTCGACCTCTTCGTACGTCAAGACGAACTGCAATCGACAGTCTTGAACTTCAGTCACGGGGCTGGGTCGTATCGTCTTATCTCGTCCTTCTAATTTTCATGTTTTTGATGCTGCGACACGAGCTCGTTAGCTTCTTTCTATAACCTTGGTAAGCATTCGCTCCAAGCTTCTAGTCGATTGCAACATGAGTGATCCATCCGCTAATGGGTTTGGTATACGTACTTCACATGTGCTTGAATTGGGGGCTTGATGCATCTGCTAAAGGTTTAGTGATAGCCTACAGCAGTGAAGGATTGAAACCTCGATTGGCGCTAAGGGGCTCAGCAGATATTCGACAACCGCTTCTTCATTACTTTGTCAACACCAAAGATACTGCACGAGCGGTCTTTCCCAGCACGCGCTTATCATACAAGCTGCACCGACGTCACTTCACACATACGCATTGCAACACGCAAACCACTCTGGGCCATGTCTGCCGCATTGAGTAGTCAAAGATCACTTCTTCTGGAGATGCGAGAGATCAAGCGGGAAACCGTACATAGCAATG